AAAATGCGCAGGAATGATCAGTGGACATAACGGATTGTGGATGGCCCACAGGGAAAGGGGGAATTAACTATGCTTGCTTTTGCACAGGAAACCCAGAGGTGGTTTTGCTTCTTCTGGGCCAATGTGGTTTATTCAGTAAAATTTATACTCTTGGTAAAACAATGTTCCAGGAATTTCTTTTTCTAGATTCTCCAACTGGACAGTTGACAGGGTGACAATTTTTTTTTTTAATCTGAAGTATTTTGGCATAGAGATATTATAACAAAGTGTAGACAAAAATACATGGAGAAGTTGCTCCCAACGTGGGTCCATCACTGACAAACCTATAAAAAAGCAGCCTGTTGTAGATGGTTTTTTTTTTAAAAATGTGTAAAATATATAGAAAAGCTTCCATGTTTCTAGTTCTCTGCATCCCAATAACTTTGCACAATAATAAAAGCCTTTTAATTTTCAATTTTTAAATAAAGGCAATTTAGAAGCAAAGACATCCTGTGTGGGTTTTTTTTTTTTTTGTAAACTTGCCCATTTTTTAAAGGGTGAGGAAACTAGAGTTTTGCGAAGGAATGCAAACACTTTTTGATGGCATATGTCACTGCTACATTAATTCAGTTTGCCTTTTGCTGGCTTGGAATTCATCCCAGGAAGAGAATGGAGGAGAATGAATATACGTTTGTGTGTATGTGTAGACACACAAACACATACGCATACACACAGAGAGAAAGAGTTTACGCTTCAAGAGCATTCTACCTAGCATTCTACCAAACTCAAGAGCATTCTACCACTATTTGCCAGCCAAATTCAATTAGTAAACTTTTCTATGGCAATTAGATCTCTAAGAAAACTGGATTCAATAGTTTTTACCGACTTGGCTAATTATCCAAGATCATTAAAGATCCCCTAGCATTATAAACAAAGATCAAAAAGAGATTAGCTAATCATGCTAACCCTCACAGATTCAAACATGAATTTATTTCCCATCCATAATGGCTCTTAGGAGAGCATTTGTCAATGCAGAAAACCATCATGAAAATATTTCCTTGAATAAAAACTTCCCTCAATCATACCTGGTTATCCCAAAACCAAGAGGAGTAATTAAGCTTAACTTAATGGGAATAGACGAACAAAAGGCATGAAATGAGAGATTGCTAGGATCCAAAATACAGCCAAGTAGATCCATTTTCCCCCCATAGAACCCTCTTCAAATATAATATTCTGTATCCTAATTAATGAACAGTGCAATAATAACAGATCAAAATCCGGTGGCTTCCATCACAGCAGAAACCATTTAATTTCATCTGAGATATTTTAGAGTTACTACTACTCTAATACTGTAGTATTGTACTGCGGTATACCCTATGTATGTAATATGTAATTATGTAATATGAAAGGAAGCAATAAAAATAATGCTTATTTTTGCTATTACTTATTAGGCACCAGTATGGCTCTTGTTTCCCTGTACACCTTAGTATGTTTTTTCCTGTTTCGACTGGCATCCCATATTCCCCCTTTGTAGTGTCATATTATGTGTACACAGTCTGCCAGCAAAATCTGGTCTGATTCTTTTGTTTACCTACATGCAAACTGGCATCTACAAGCTGCACTGCAAAAATATTCAAGAATGACAAGAATTGATAACTTAATAAATCTTGCCACATATGGAGGAATAGGGGGACCCCCTCCATGCACAGATGCTTAATTATCCTAATGAGGTTATCTCCAAAGTTTTTTGCACAAACTCCAGCTTATTTTAAACACTGAACTGAGATATTTTAAACACTCTTCTGACATCTGAGTAGACTAGACCCTAGACCACGGGTGTCAAATTCAAAGCCTGGGGGTTGGACCTGCCCCACAGGGTGCTTAGATCTGGCCCACGGGGCTGCCCTGGAAAAAGCAAAGGACTAGCCTGTGGTGCCTCTGCCAGCGAAAACGAAGTTTTGGGAGGGATGTGGGAGGACCTCCTGAGCTACGTTTTCACTGGCAGAGGGTTGCAGGAGACTGTTGCAGCCAAAAACAGAGCTCAGGAGCCAGTTTTCTCTGGCAGAGCACTCAGGCCACCATAGGTATCCCCGACAGGAGTGACATCGAGTTGGCCACGCCCACCTTGGCCAAGTCCACCACAGTCCCCCAAGATCAAACACAACCTCAATGTGGCCCTCAATGAAATCGAGTTTGATATCCCTGCCCTAAACATTCAATCTGAAAGCCCATCGCTGCCTGATGGATATACTGAAGTTCATTGCTTTCTCAGTAATTGGTGGTGGTGGAAAATATAACTTTTGTCATTACAGATCCTAAAATTTAAAAATTTAGCAGTCTTCAAAAAATAAAGCCTGAAGAACATGTTTAGTCCAGGGTTTAAGGGTAGAAGTCAGGAAACTATGAATTATAGTCCCATTTTAGGCATGAAAGCCAATTGGGTGGATTTTGGCCAATTACCAGGAGACTATAAATTCTAGTCCTGCCTTAGGCATGAAAGATGGTTGGGTGATTTTCGGTCAGCTACTCTCTCTCACCTCACAACGGTGTTGTGGGAACAGAGGAGAAGAAAAGAACGTTATGTTGTTTGCCACCTTAAATTACTTTTTACTTAAAGTAATAAAGATGGGATATAAATAAATAAAAGAAAAATAAGGGTGATAAGACAGTGATAGTTTTTCATGAGGACAAGCAGACTGCAAAGGGCTGTGTGTCAGGCATTGTTTAAAATACACTGTATTAACTCAATAGAAAGAAGAGGTTTTCATCAGGTACCTGTGCTAATTTGGACACTACATTTTTATGTTTGCTTCCCTCACTCCTGTCTTCTTTCTTTTTGCAGGCTATTATCTGAAACTCAGGATGGTAAATATGCCAATGCCTTTGGGAGTAGTGACTACAATGTGCCTTAAATGTAATTATTATTTAGCACTAGGCACTACTCAAAATTTATGAATTGCATTTTCAACCATTCAAAAACAGGACTGCCCAAACTCTTCAACTCATTGACTCCTTCATGAAATTTCAGATATGAATGAAGGCAAATTTCAGATAGTTTATTACTCCACCAAACATTTATTATATGAAAATAATTTAACACATACTATTTTAACTAATAATAACAATAACAACATCATTGATCCCTTGGGATAGTCCTACTGATTCTGGAGGGTCACAATTGACCACTTTGGAGAAACCTGATCTAAAATGTCATCAAATAGCTTGTACTTTTCCAGCTACAAGCAGAAATAATAACATGAAAGGGGGGCAGCAATTAGTTCATTACAAAACAATCCACTCTGCCCTCTGCAGGTTCATTAGCAGTGATAGAAATTTTGCTTACATTCGTTACAACTTGCATGCAGAGTGACAAAGAATGAGTTGTAATTTGAATGTACATATACTTCTTTCATATACTCTGGCTTGCTGCCATTTCACCCCAAAATCCTCAAGTATGCCTTTAGCTAATTATTATTAGGAATTCAGCATGCTCCTGTCTACAGAATCAAAACTATACAATTTATTTCCCTGGAATCATGTATTTACTAACCATATCCACTTTTGGCTTTTAATAATTAGCCAAGCATTCCAGTCAAATTGATCAAATTATTGGATCTTATCTGGAGTTAGAGGGATGTGTGTGTCTATAAGCAAGACTTAGAAGAAGGTGCTTGGATGCCAGAGTCCACTTGTCATTTTCATACCCAATGTTTTTAGAAGAACATCTAGTCTCCTTGATTTGTGCTTCTCCAAATCCATGAACATCTGTCAAAATCTCTTTTGAAAAGCAAAATTTCTTACAATTCATCACCCACGAACAATAGCTCAAGTGTTGGATCTCTCTCCAATAAACTTCCTTGTTTAGCTGAATGTTAAGAACTTGTTTATTCTGCAGGATCCAATCTGGGTCAGTCACTTGGACCAGAGGTTTAATCTTCCAAGCTTTGGGACTTGTGCTGAAGCGCACTCTCCGGCAACTTCTCTCTACTGGAATGTGTACTTATTTATTCATGACTGTGTCTGCCTCTTCCAATGTGGTGGTCCAATAATCTTCCTATTTATTTGGAAGTCTTGACTCTTTTAATTATAAATTTTTCATTTATTCTAATCTAACTATACTTCAACATCCCTTTTAGTGCACTCTCACAGTTTACCAGTCTACTTGTCCATTTAATTGTAGGGGGGGAAATGGCAGAACCTTCAGGAGGAGTCAAAAGAGGAATCAGCCTAGAGTCTATATGTAGCCATAAACAGACTATGTTCAACCCATCTTGAATTCCGTTGACTGTTATCTAATGCCAAGATAATACTAACCATTAATTGATCTGTGCATAGGCATGATTAGTCATAAATCAGTTTAATCAGAACTGATCAGATCACGTGGTCATGATCTTTCACGCTTGACAAATTTGCATTCTATTATTCAAAGGATGGTCTTTACTCCGTTAGTAGCGTCTGATTTTTTGGGACAATTATAATATTGTTCAATTTTTAAATATTATTATTGTTTTCTTAATGGCAATATGTTATCCATTGTTATTCTAAAAGATTAAGACTATTATTTAGTAGTAAGAGAAATTATAAAACAAAGGCTGTTTTGTGAAAAGAATTTTGGAATCTTACAGAAATAACACCATATTCATGACTATTAATACATTCAAGTGCAAACCTGAAATGAGAAAAGGTTTAAGCTACATAAATAATTTATTAGGAGAAACTTAAAAGTATACAAAGCTTCAGAGTTTTCTGACCAGCAAATAAGTATGTACAATCTTTATTATTATTATTCTTTATCTTGATCTGTGGATATATGAAATAAAAATGAACTTGTTTGGAATACAGTATGAAAATTAGCTTGTATTACAAAATATGAACAGGGTATCTATACTTCTAATTAGTGTAATTAAAATATGAACCCCCGAATTGATAACAGTTGAACAACATTGGTGTTAATTTTGTTAATTGTGTTTTAGTGATTTGAAGAAAAAAAAAACTAATTCACTTTCACCAAAACAACTCACCTGGATGAATGGTAATAAATCTGTTATCTTTTGGTAAAGATGTTGATGCTGTTTCTGGTCTTCTTGGAATCTCACCAGTATATTGTTCATTAATGAATAGTGTCGGCACTTGGGTGGAACTGACTGTATTGAACTCAGTGTCTATTCCTGTAACTCCTTCTCCTCTTTCAGGAGTCCTACCTGTTGGTACAATATTTTGGCTTTGCTCATGATCAGATATAGTTTCATTTCCTCCCTCCTCCATAGTTCTGTTGGGAGAAAGAGTGGTGTTTGTAGCTTCACTATTTTCCTGGGTTTCAACAGCTTCGGTCACACCACTTTTCTCTTTTTTCTCAGAATCCTTTTCTCTCTCTTCTTCATGCTCTCTTTCGCCATCCTCGCTTTCACTTTTTTCATCTTTCTCCCCATCCTCAGCTCCTTCATTGTCTTTTGTGAGAGCAGAATCACTGTCTGGTGCTGGAGAAGACAATGCCTCGGTGGTAGCCACCACTGGCCTGGCAGACTGTTTATTAGTCGAGGCAGAGGTCGGGAGCCGGGTTGGCCATACCGTACTAGGGAAAGAAGAAATACCACTGCTACTAAATCCTAGACCGGCCAGTAAGGTGCTAGTGACCACGGAAGCCACGGTAGCCTGGCTCCCACTAGAGGACGGCCCCATCCCCGTTGCCATGGAGACAAAAGAAAAGGGGAGGCCTGAGGAAGTCCAAGTAGAAGACCCAGAACTGATGGGAGCCATGTCGGCTGAAGGTGCTGGAGAAGCTGTCGGCTTGAAGAAATCACGAGGGGGAACAAGAGAAGAAAACACAGCAGAAAGAGCATCAGTAGAGGTACCTGACATGCTACCTCGGCTCTTTTTTCCTTTTGTTCTCTTTTTCTTTCCAACCACTCCATTCTGCCCATTATTCTGTTTAAATAAGACAAGTATATTTCAACAGTTATAGTGAAAGCTAGCTGGCAGCAAGACAAAATTTACAAGACAAACAACATAGGAAGACATAAAACTGCTTATTATGTTTGAAAGAGGCCCTTCTTCTGTCCAATTACAGATACAATTACTTTAATCTAGAAGATTAAGAACACCATCCAAAGCTTATTTACTTAAATTGAAGACCCGCTACATTCACTGGTTGACCTCTAGGGAAATGAAGCCAGAATTGAAGTCTAAATAAGTCAAAAGAACGTATTTAAGGGAGCCTGTCATTCTTCTATTTCAATAATGCAGCTACAATCCACTCACTTAAGGAAACATGCTTACATCTAGAAATATATGGGCCCTAAGAACACCATTTTAGACTGATTGTGCATGAATATATTTTGCCAAATCTGAACTACTTTTAAATGATGTAATGTTGCATTATCTTCTGTTATTATAGGATGGATTACATTTGTGTTCCATTTTGTAAAATACATTTATAAAGTATGTGTGGGAGGGTTCAATTGTGTTTTTCTCTTTTTCCCAAGCAAGTATTTTTAGGATACAGTATTTGAATAAAATGCCTTCTGAAAAGGTATGCAGTTGATAATATTAATAGCTTAAGAGTTTTCTTCAAGCTGCCTTGGATCTTCACTGACTTCACCGAAATATTTTCATGTATCATAGCTTTTGGTGTATATTTTGGTATGTTCATAGCTCCCAGCTAAAGAGGAGTCAAATTATTTATAGGAAGTTGATGCAGCTCCAAAATAGGAAATAGATAATGCTATCAAATTAAGATTGTGGCAGCATGTTCTTTATTATTATTTTTATTTAATATACTGCAATTCACTGAAAAACCTTGACTTTTTAAAAGAAGTGGCATGTAGAGATTTAAAAAAAGAAATAATAGAGAATGGGGAGGGAGAATATTAAGATTACTTTGTTATCATCAAACTCATTTACACTAACAGATCTCCAAATCTATTTCACTCAACAACCTACACTGCTATAACTTTATATATGATAAAGAAATGATTTAGATGTGTTGTAGCAGTGGAACTCCAAACTGAAAATTCTCTATTGTTTAAGATGGGGCCTAGACCAGCTGAAAACCCTGATTACTGCAGGCCCATTACAGATAGTTCTCAACTTATGACTATTCATCTAGCAGCCATTTGAAGTTACGAGGGCTCTGGAAAAAAGTAACTTATGACCAGTCTTCATCCTTATGATCATTGCAGTACTGTTGTGCTCAGGTAATTGCGATCCTGGTACTTGGCAACCAGCTCTCACTTACAATGGCTGCATTGTCCTGAAGTCATGTGGTTCATCAACGGAGACCTTCCCAGTCAGCTTCCAAAAGTAAAATCAATTGGGAAGCTGGTAGGAAGGTTACATATCACAGTCAAATCATGGCCTGCTTAATGACCACAATGATTCACTTAATGACCATGACAAAAATGTCATAGAATTGAGTGCAGTCACATGGTGCCTCATTTAACGGTGAATTTTCTGGATCCAGTTGTGGTCATAAGTTGAGGACTACCTGTACATTTGGGTAGTATTAGACAAGGGAAGTGTATCCTACAAAACTGTCTCTCAGAGTGTTATCTGTTCACTATGCCAGCATGAAATATGTGCTTGTCTGTGAATTGCATACATTTACAGCATCAATATGGGCAGTTTGGGACAAATTTAAATAAGAATAATCCTTCAAGTTATTCAAATTAATCTTATAGGAATTACAATGTCCGTAATCATGGCATAAACATAGCTTAATGAGAAAAGATCCATCTTTTCACAATGCTTTGCCCATCTTAATTGAGTTTATAAAAGAGTGATAAAATGAGGCTATGTAATCCATGGTAAGTACCTTGAAAGCATGCTATCACAAATACATTTCAAAATAGATAAGCTAAGTAATGACCTTGTAGGATAATATCAAAACTAAATCACTCCTAGAGATATTCAAGTTAATTTTTACACAAATTAATATGTATGTTAATGACTAGATTTGCTCAATCTATTGGTACAGAATGTATTGTCATAAATAACTAACATGGTAAAAGCCAAACAGAAACTAGAAGGATCAATCAGATGAGCAATTTAGACCGGAATGTTATGGACATGCTTTATACTTAAATATGATAACCTCTGAGATATAAATATACACATAAACACATATACACACATACACATTCTCCAGAGGTTCCTGTTATTGTGTTATCTTCTCTCAAGCTTAATTCTACTCTCTTGGAACATAGAAGAAGATACATTGAATATATAACTCTGGTTCCTTCATTGAAATGTGAGGAAACTTCTAGATGACCTCTACACGATAGGGTGCAATTCCTAGCTAGCACAGGCGGTGGTATGGGGAACTGTATCCCCAACACATCTGGAGGGCATGAGACTGGACAAGGCAGATCAAACTTTTTTTGGTCACAAAAGCTCAGCATAATTTTGGGTTCCAAATAGAAGTGAACAAAATTAGTCACCAAATTATCTGCCTGCTTAATTTAGTCCACCAAGAATTACCTGAACATAGTGTAATGTTGTTCAGGGCAATCTTTGGCTTACAAAACTATTTTTATAAAACATTAAGACTCAGAGTACACTGGTTCCAACATGTGTGAACTTGCAGACCTAATCCTAATCCACCAGTGTTGAATGCCCAATCCAAAAATTTGGAATAGCAATGCCAATCAATTCCAATGCCACATTTTATGAGGTATATATTATGCTATGCTGCCACCTGCTGGAGAAGATGTTATAAATGCTTTAAAATCCTTTTAGTGAACCATCTCACTTACCACTCCTGTTTTTACTATTCTGGTCCCCTCAAAAATTCGAGTTGTGTTATCTGGAGGGAGTGGGGGAGGGAGAGAGAAAAGAAGGTTTGATTATAAAACCATAAAGTATTTACAAAACATTAATTTAGAATAGATGATTAAGAAATTAAAAATCAGAGGAGAGTGTACTTGTAGCTCAGGATTGAACTGCGGGGCCCTTGATGCTCTCAGAGCTATAAAACTCCCAACTGAGACTGTTAAATATTAGAACTACTCATACTCAAGAACAATAGTGGTGGTACAAATAAATGATTCTTAACTGATCTGTGAAGTTTTTTTAAAAAAAGTTTGCTTTCCCCATACTTATATTTCTAAAACTCATAAATCCATATAACTGGATTTCTTATCCTCAACCAAAACACTTTCCGGTTAATTGTAACCTCCTTTATTTCTCTACCAGCATATAATTTCCATAGTAGACTTTTCCAACCTCTAGATATATTTGGAGTTCAGGAAGCTGCATTTCCAACAGATCAAGAGGCCATAGATTACGGAAATTGGCTTTAAAATAAACTGGCGCCTTGCTATTTAAATCTGAGTGCCAATTAACTATACAAAACACACAGTGAGGCAATTTTAGATAAGTGCCATGAAAGCAATCTTAATGAGTGTGGTACCGTGCTACTTGTTAAACTAAGCAGGCTGTAAAACCAGATAGGAGATGCTACCTTTTGATGCTTACAATATAATGCATGGTTCACTACATCAAAAAGTTTCCATATAAACAAAATAACATTATAAGACATAATTTATAAATTCTAAAATTTTAAACAAACAAAAACAAAAATAAACTGTAACTATGCTTCTTTACATAAACAAGGTTAAATAAATAAACAGACAGACAGACAGACTATTGGGAGCAACAGAAATTACAGGTATTAGGTAACTAGAAGATTAGTCTTCAAACTACTGTTTCTGGAATTGAACAAGCAACCTTGACCAGTATGACTTCCCATAGCTTCAGTATAATAAACACCCACAAAATAAAAAAGTTATCCTTTCTGATTTAAATACTTTTAATTCTTAATAAAAGCAGCTGTGCTAGGGTGAGTTTACTACCAGTCCCCATTAAAAAAAATGGGGCTGAAGAATCTCTTGTGGTGCATTTTTAACATGGTGGAAAGCCCAAAGGAAAGAACAAGGATTAATTGATGTAATTCTGTACCAAAGGAATCCTTCTTTCCTGTTCCAAGCTAACAGTTCCCTGTTTTTCAGCATGACAGGCCCATTTATTTCAAACCTATTAAACTACTTAGATAGACTTGGTATATGACAAAAATCCATCAAAGCTATTCACATCCTCAGTAAACAAACAGTTGGAACATCAATTCTGCTGTCTGCTTCACTCAGTCACATACGGGGGAAAAATCAGAAAAACCAGAATTTATGCATTTGTTATATCCACCTTTCCTCTATGAGGTACTTTCCCTCATAGTATATTCATACAGTAACAGGGCAAGGTGAGTTGGCCTGAGAGATAATGAGTGGCCCAAAGTACTTTCTATCTGTGGGAACTTGAACCTTGCTTCTTTGGGAGGCTGCTGAATGAGATCCAAAAACCTCCATGCACACACCAAGGTATTTCAATATACAGATGGAATCTTCTAATGGTTTTTGCTTTTCAACTTTCTACCATTAAGAAAATCCTTGCCTTCCAGGAGCACCTTTTCAAGATGGTTACATATCCCTCTATAAATCTCCTGGGAAATTAGATGTTTGCTGCTTCCTGGATCTGACACTGCTTGTTAGAATTCATGTAGCATCTCCTCTATCGTGAGTCCTCAGTGACATTGAGCTATAAAAAGGCTAATACAGATAAAGGTATTTAACTTAATGGTAGTGCTGTGGTTGAGCAAGATCACATACAGGATGCAAATACAGCTTAGGGAAAGTAGAGCAAGGAATTCCTCCCTACTGAGATGATCCTCAAGCACAGAGATAATTTAATGTAGAAATACATCTTTATTCAAGGCCACCAAACCACAGGAAGCAAGAACTGCAAATGCACACTGCCTCCAAACTCTCAGTGTACATGGGTAGCCAACACTGATGATTACTGCTCACTTCTGTTTCAGTAGCAATGAGACTCCAAGCTTGGAAGAAAATTCAGTATCTTGCGAGCTCATGATACTATAACTTAAACAAGTAAAGTCGTCCTCTTTAAGCAATGTTGCTACTTCCCTTGAGTCGATGTAAGCACAGTTGAAGGCAAGCACAGTTCCTAAACCTTACAGCTGCTTGCACACTTATTTTTTCCCCTTATATAATTTGTTGGTTGAGAGAACATTACGGAGGTATAGGAAATTTGGATGGTATTACCTTGAAAGAGCATCGTCTGGCTAAAATCACTGCGCATGTCATTTCGGCAAACTGCTTGAACTCTGAACAGATAAAGGATGTCAGATGAGACATGGCTAATGATGGCTTTCTGTTTAAAAAAAATAGATGTTATTCAGTTTTATCCCTCCCAACAGGATGCTGAATGATCAGTCTGTAAAACATAAAAAAATATACTTAGAATACATTTTATGGGAATGGCAAATTTATTTGAACAGAAGAGAAAGTCCACAGTAAAGGAATAGTGCCAAAATAGAGAAAAGTGCAATGTCACACTTCGGGCAGTAAGAAGCGTTACCCTTTCTGTAAAAGAAGCAAATAAACCCTAATTGGAGATAAAATGTTTTGAACCATGGTTCAAGCCAAGTTAGCCAGATTTCATAATATTATAAGGTCATCTACTGATGAAAAAAGAGGTAATAGCAAATACCTGTCCTCATAGACAGTGGTACCTCGGTACTTGTCATTAATTGGTTCTGGGAGGCACATTGAGTAGTAAAAACATTGAGTACCAAACAAACCACATGACTGAACATGTGACCCTTTGTTTTGGCCAGAAAGGTTTGTGAGTCACAAGGCAGCCAACACCACCAAGATCTAGCTTGCATGTCGAATACCAAACAAACAATGAGTACTGGGACAAAATGTTCACATCAAAATGCATTGGGTATCAAATCTGACGCATTTTAAAGCAGATGAGTACCGAGCTATGACTGTATGCCCCTACATTAGGAATTGGAATACTGATTAAATCATTACTAGAAGATATTAGAGATGTGCAGTATTTAGTTCCCAGCAGAATCTGAAGCTGGCAAAAATACCATGGATTTGGCGTGGCCAGCTTCAATGATCCTACAGGCACTTTCTTGAAGGATTCATACTTTCTCTTGGATGCGCATAGCCGCATGTTCTTAGGAAAATCTGCATTTGAAACCAAGAAGCATTACAGAGATGGTGACAGGGCGCATCCATCCTGTCACGCTTTTCTTAATGCTTGATGAGCTCAAGCTGCTATTTTCCGAAGTCCTTGCAGATACTGGGTGAAAAAAAACAAAAACATATGGCTCTAGCAGGAAAGAGGCCCACTCAAGATCCAAAACACTATGCCTGCTTTAGATCTGAATACTGAATACCTGTAGGAGACATTGATAGTGGCATCAAAGTCCGAATTTCTTTTCTCCACCAGAAGTTGCTGAATCACAATTTTTAGCAGCCTCAGCCAACATTCTCTATGGTGAGTGATGGAGTTCTAATTTAATAGCATCTGAAAGGCCCATGGTCTATTTCCTTATAGAGTGCTTCAGGTGCCAAAGATGCTTATAAATGTTTGAAGAAATACAACTGATACTGCTATTTGGAAAAAAAATGGCTATATGGAAGATTGATCTGGATTTTTATTTCTTTGCCATGAGGACTGATTAGTTTTATAATAATTTATTTATTATTAATTTATATTTGCCTTCATTCATGATTAGATTTATATTCCACTTTTCACTCAGGAGTGCAAGAAGGCATACGTGATGCCATCTCCTCTACTACAACCGCAACAACAGCATTGTGAGGTAGAATAACAGGACCAAAGTCAACAGTCGATTTCCATGGTTGAGGGACGAGACTTTTTGTCTCCTTGCTTCTAGTCTAACATTTTGACTGCCACCCAATGCTGGCTCTATGTACCTTTCCATGATAATTTGCCTCTGATTCCAAAGCTAGTACAAGAAAAACCTGAAAAGGTGCAGAATTTCAAACTGATGTCAATTTTATTAGATTCTTCTCTGGGCTGTTATAGTTTATTTCAGCCAAGAGATAATTCTACCTGGTCCCTTAGGCTTCCATAACAAGTCATCAAGACACCAAAATGTTGACACATGCATCATGATTTCATTTCACAAATGATGTAGTTATGTGCTCGGATTTTGACATCTATCACTGACCTGTTTAGCTGTCTCATGTGTGTAATGATGTCACAATGATGACATGATGCACCGGCTATATATCAGTCCTTTCTTTCCTAATAAAGCTAGTAGTTGATTTTATAGGCTTTCTTTGAACCTTCCAATAACTGAAGGCCGAGCTGGATAAAGGAAACGTGAAAGGAAAATCTTCCTTTCAGCTGTTATTTGCAAAAGAATTTAGGGTCCTTTTATGAGATCCTCAAATTCATATGCAAAAAAAATAAAATTAAATAAGTAATTGCTGGTCAAAAGAAACAATTATTTAATTTTTGTGGGAAGAAAAAGTTCTAATGCATACACCACGAAAGAACTCTCCTTTGGATTTTTATACTTCTCTGACTGGTGTAATTCAGCAATAATGCCTCAGCATGGATTTAAGGAGTGTGTTTTAGATAATGTACTTAATTGTACATTACCATGAGAAACACAACACATGTGTTTGAAAATATGTGTGTTTAAATGCAAAATCTATGAGAGTTAAAAGAACCTGAAATTAATGCAGAAGTGGGATGAAATAGATTTGCAAGTGGATAAGCTAGAATGAACACAGGTTAGGTCAGTTTGGGAGACAGGCCTTGCCACTCTCTTGTGGCCTGATTGCCCACAGAGAGTGAGAATGTTTGCACCCTATTGTTTTATTTTCTCTCCACGATAGTGCAAGAGTAAACTTTAGGGAATAATTATACTGAAGACACAGGAAAGGAAATATGCATGATGCAACTGCTGAAACAGCCAGTTAAAATTAAAAATGTCCATTTGGATTGGCCACTGAAGTTGGCTGGAAGACCTGGCTTCTGAATGCCAGTTAGTCTAGCATTCCTAACAGCTAAGCAATCAATCCTGAAGGAGCCCAGGGAATGGATCATGGGCCACAGATACACCTTGGAAAATGTTCCTGCGTTTGTGACTAAATAATTCTCATGATTAATGTTCGCTGTCTTTATTATTCATTAAAAGGATAAAGGAGTTTTTCTCTTAAGGGGTGGGTGGGGAAAAGATGAGAAGTTTAAAATGACAAAGTCCTAACCTTTACAACTCCTTCAGCAAGATTGCTTTATGATTTGATGAAGCACTAGATTCCCTCATATGACCCAGATAACAACTTCTGGGGGGGGGGGGGGGAATTGAAAGAAAAAATGAAAAAAAAAAGTATAAAAGAGCCTTAATCTAAGAAAGAATAAGAAACATATTATTCTAAAACTGACTGAATGGCACCCAAGGAGGATGTATTTGCAAAGGGGAAAAGATAACTACCATTAGGAATTTAACTCACTGTGGTTGTATTTTTATGTGCACATACAATGACTGATTACATTATTCCAGAGACTTTCTTTGATTAACAGTAAACGGAGCCCTCACAAAATGTAATGTGTCATTCTCCTTCTTTATGTGTGGAATTTTAAGGACATTGGTAATCGCCACTTGTCCCTGGGTGGATATTCCAACCTACATGTGGATTTCCATGAGTGGTGCTGATGTTTCTTGTTAAATCTTTAGTGGCTTCTTCATTACACAATCACTATGCTCAGAAAGCAAAGAATAGGCTTCCTGTGAAGCCAATTCCTTCCAGGCTCTAGCCACAGATGATTCTGAAAACTTAACCCTGTAAATGTGAACAGTCCCGGGGTACTGCCAATACTTTGTAAGGCCATTAGTTTCCCTTTAAGGCAGGGGTGGGCAAACTATGGCCCAGGGGCCACATCTGGCCCGTTGGTCTTTTTAATCCGGCTCGCCGAAGATTGGTACAGAATTAAGGTTTGATGTGAATGGTTGAATGATTGCATTCATTTGATTTTGACTTGTAATGACAGGCATTTCGACACCAGGTGGCGGCCCGTCTGTCAAATTTTAAAAGTCAATGAGGCCCCCGAGCCAAAAAGTTTGCCCACCCCTGCTTTAAGGAAATCTTAGATGGGCATTCCAGATAAAGTATAGGAAGAAGACATTGACTTTAGTACAACCATCCAAACTGGATTCCTAAGGGGCAACTTCTTTGAACTTTCCTGATATACAGTACTCTGTATTCTAAACCTGGGGTTTCCAACCTTGGCAACTTTATGACTTGTGGACTTCAACTTCTGGGAGTCGTAAAGTTGCCAAGGTTGGAGACCCCTGCTCTAAACCATTTATAGAAAGAATGACATAAAGGTGGTTTCTTATAATGAAATGGGTTAACAGAACTCAGTGCAAATTTGAAAACTAGCTCAAGTCCCTAGACGTTTCATAACCATAATTTCCATGGAGGACAGGAAAGTTATGTTAACAATAAGGGCAATGTCAGATGGCTGTAGCTTTACCAGATCCTTGTCACTGTCTTTAGTGAATGTCTTCTCTTTTTCATCTTCATTTTTACTCCAACTGTAGGAAATCATATAGTTCATAATGGGTGGATGATAGATAATCTCTGGTTGGTTCCAGGTCACCAGCAAGGCTGTTCTGTTAACGAGTTTCACTTTCATATTGACAGGAGGGGTACTGCAAACTAGACAAAAGGAGAAAGAGCAAAACATGATATATGCTTTCAGGATATGAGATGAGATAACAGTTGCCAGAGAATTGTACAAAAAAATAATTTTGCAGTCAGACCTTGATCTTGAATTGTATCCAGCCAATTATGGACATGTATATATCATTATATTGTGACATAATGATAATATAAACAAGAAACATCGAAATCTAGAATTTCAGTCATGCAGTTTCTGAGATGCTTGTATCTCTATTGCCTCAAGAGGAATTTGAGGAGAGTTGCTTAAAGTAAGCTCTTCTGACCATGCTTTTATTTTTGAAGTTTTCATTTTATATCACAGCAAGAGAAAATATAATTAATGCCGATCCAGGCATAAATAAAATAATCAGAATCATTAAGATGGCATAATAGCAATAGCACTTAGACTTATATACTGCTTTACAGTGTTTTACAGCCCTCCTCTCTAAGCGGTTTTACAGAGTCAGCATATTGTCCCCAACAATTTTGGGTCCTCATTTTACCCACCTCGGGACGATGGAAGGCTGAGTCAACCTTGAGCCTGATGGGATTTAAACTGCCAAATTGCAGGCAGCCGGCAGTCAGCAGAAGTAGCCTGCAGTACTGCACTCTAACAACTGCACCACTGTGGCTAATTGCCTTACATTCTTTTAACAAAGTGCATTTACAACAACATTATCAACCCTGCAATGTCTGTTAACGAAAGTACTATGAATATTGTTGCCTGAGTATATTTTGAGAATGAAACACTCCTTTTGACCTCTTAAATTTGGATATCAATTTATTTGTCGGGCAAGGAATCTAGATGCACATTTCCCTTTCTCAGGTTTAACAACAAATTGCCTAACAATTGAATCTGAAAGGCACACATCTATCTATCTATCTATCTATCTATCTATCTATCTATCTATCTATCTATCTATCTATCATCTATCTACTTACCCACCCACCCACCCACCCACCCATCTCTCTCTCTCTCTCCCTCCCTCCCTCCATCTTCCATTCATTCAATTTCTAATCCACTATGTGAGTTGCTGCAAAAGTAATACTATGACTCAAAACTGGGACTAATTTCCAGAATTTCTTTGCACTTATTGCTATGATATTCTGCTAGCTGTAGCATAATAGGTGTGAAGCACCTTACGGAAGTCTATATTTTATAATGATTATAAATTTGTGAGTATAGATCATCCTACAGGATTTTCAGCTGTAGAAGAAATCACTGTAACCACAGCAAGTTATTTTTAATATTAAGGAATGGCCAGAATAGAGATCATAACTCAGCAATGATAAATTTATGAGGAAAAACCCAAGTGTAAATATATACCAGTTCTAAGAGGAAATCAGATGAAAGGATATGCCATTTTTGTAAAACTAATTGCTGAATCTCTGAATCACACAGGCACCATCTTTCCCTACACTCAGAAATAAATATATCTTAATGTTGAACGCTAGGTGGCACTAATAGGCTACTGATAAAAATCACATCTCTTCCCCCCCCCCCCCCCCCATAAATAGTTATTTTAAGATAGGAATCCATGATTCAGACTTTGAAATGCTCTTGAAAAATTCTAAATCCATGGTCCACGAGAATATCAGATAATGGGGTGTAGTTAAGAGTCCCCGTGACCATATCCCAAAGGTCAATAGGGTAATCTTGGCAGCTATAAAGCTTGTTGGACTTCAAGCAGAGCTAGCTGTGGAATTCAAGCAGAGCTAGCCTTGGAAGTCTTAAAGTTGCCAAGGTTAGACACCCTTGGCGTACACTGTCATTTTACCATTCAAAGTCCTTCTCCAGCGTTGGTACAATGGTTGGCCTTTGGATTCTTAACATTCATATCCTTTGATTGGCCATAAGGATTCATAACACCCATACTGCAAGCTACATCATGGGCTAGTGTAGAGGGAGGAGTGGCTATATTAGCAATTGTAGTTCACCTTTGAGGCTCAATAAATATTTTCTTTGAAAAGCTTATGACCCATAGGAAAAACAGTTAGGGATTTGGATTTATTTTGCTGGAGTTATCAAAAAATTAAGAGGAACGTTGCTCTGCACTCTCACATCTCCCTTTTCTTTGCAAGTCTTTCTCTACACCTTCTATATTCTATATTATTCTATGTAATATATCTGAAGAGATGGATGCCCATGAAAAATGACTGAGAACCATAACTTCCTTACATTAATTTAAGAATAAAGAAACCATTAGAGAGTATTTCACATGATTGCTTATTGTACCCTATGACTATTATTACCTTATGATTCTTGACTCTTGATGAATGTATCTTTTATTTTATGTACACTGAGATCATTTACACCAAGACAAATTCCTTTTGTGTCCAAATCACACTTGGCCAATAAAGAATTCTATTCTATTCTATTCTATTCTATTCTATTCTATTCTATTCTATTCTATTCTATTCTATTCTATTCTATTCTATTTTAATTTAAGAAGAAGAAAATGGAAAGCTTTATTGAAAGAACTGAACAAAGCATGCAGAGGTTATGTGCTGATGGTCTACAAGGGAGAGGCCGTGAACCCACAATAATGGTGAGAAACATGTGACTTTATGGCATCCGTCCAGTTTGTAAACTCATCTCTGTACATTATATCTGCAAATCACATTCAATGGCTGTTAATCTACATATTGGAATTAGGAAGTTTCGTTGTCTTTTTTTCTCATGTAAAAAATGAGGAGGCTGGTGAAAGAATCTGAAAAATGAAGTCAAGAGGGTAAATTTCTTCACAGTATCTTCACTTCTCAATTTTTGAAACTCCTCTGGAATAAAGTATCAGAATGGGCCAATCAAATGTAGGAAGAGCCAGCATGCCTTTTTTTAGTAATAGCTAGAAAGCTGTAAAAGTTATTGAAGGTTTCCTGCAGGAAATGAGAAGCCTGCCCAAATGAGGAGAATAAAACGGAACAGAAGTCCTGGCAAAAATATTGTGCAGATGGTAAAAAGATACATAGAAAAAGAACCCAAGTCAAAAAGCCATTAAGAAAAACAATCAGAAGCTTTTAAACATATGTGCAAAACAATAAACAGCCCTGCCCCCCCCCCCCAAAAGTAAACCCCATAGAGGGTGATTGGGCCACCAGACAATGAAGAATTAAAGGGATATTGAAAGAAGACAAGAAATTCATGAGAGGATTTTGGATTTGCAACTGCCTTTACTATAGATAGAAGATAGGAACAGATAGACAACCCTGTCTTGAAATTGGAACAGAGTAATAGAAACTTTCCTTTCACTAAGTGGTAAACCAGTTTAAAAAGCTCAAAGAATCAAAATAGAGGGGCAATTTTCTCAGAGAAAGGAAGGAAGCAAGAAGTAGAGTTTCTCAAAGATCTGTGTCCATAAATGATCATGATATGGAGGCTAACACTGAGCTGGCCAACTCTGCAGATGACATCATAGTATTCAGGATGGTGAAAAACGAAACGTGAGACGTTCCAGACGGATCTCTTGAATTAGATGAACATTCATTTCAATGGCTTATGCAGTTCAATTTAAGTGAAGTGTAAAGTGATTTCATTGCGGGTGGGGAATCTTAACTTCACATATATACAGTACATGGGGACTGGGTTATCTATAATCTTTCTGGGGGGAAAATATTGGTGAAACAGTAGATAGCTTATTGAACTTGTAGAATCTGTGCGTAACGGCTGTGAAGGCAAGGGAAAGGGAACTGACATCAATGGAATGCCTTTATATAAATCGATAGTAAATCTGTACCTGAGATATTCAAAAAAAGAAAACAGAACAGTGACAAAGAGGGTATCAAAACAAAAAGAGGGCTGAAAGTCCAGTGGTGGGATTCAATTTTTTTTTACCACTGGTTCTGTGGATGTGGCAGAGGAAGAATACTGTAAAATCTCTAGTCAGAGGTGGTATTTGCTGGTTCTCCAAACTACTCAAAATTTCCGCTACCGGTTCTCCAGAACTGGTCAGAACCTGCTGAATATCCCCTCTGGCTGAAACATCTACTTTACAAAAAGAATATATGGAATTCTTTCGCACAGAGAAAAGAAAACAGAAGGAAGATATGATCAAGGTGTGAATCATGTACAATATGGAATAAATGGTCAGAGACAAGTTCCTCCCCTCAAAATACAATTGGACTCGCGTACAGGAAGGAGATTTAGAAGAGATAAAAGAAAGGACTTCTTCCTACAGCATATAATTAACTATTGGAATTCATTAGCACATGATGGGACAATGACTATTATTCTGAATGGCTTTAAAAGCAGGTTGGATAAATAGCCATGGCAATAGCACTTAGACTTATATACCGCTTCACAGAGCTTTACAGCCCTCCTCTCTAAGTGGTTTTACAGAGTCAACACATTGTCCCCAACAATTTTGGATCCTCATTTTACCCACATCGGAAGGATGGAAGGCTAACTCAACCTTGAGCCTGGGTGAGATTCAAACTGCCAAATTGCAGTCAGTCAGCAGAAGTAGCCAGCTATACTGCATTCTAATCACTGCGCCACCGCGGCTCTTTTTCACAAAGGTCTTTTGACAGCCATTTTGACATTGGCTCTTCTTTGAGGGAAGGCTATCTCCAAATATCAAATGCATGGCAACAATAGTAGTAGGAGGACCTCTTCCAATTTTTGGTTGGAAACATCCACAACCATCTAGTTATCCACTGTGAGAAACAAAATGCTCAGTTTGGTTTGCCCAGACCAAACAGGGCTTTCCTATTTTCTTCTCTCTCTCTCTCTCTCTCTCTCTCTCTCTCTCTCTCTCTCTCTCTCTCTCTCTCCCGCTCCCTCCTTTTCTCTCGCTCCACCTCCCTTAATCCCGATTCAGTGTTAAAGTTAACTAACCAGAATCTAGACATTTTTGAGACTTGCACTTAACCAAAATCCATTTGAGACTTCAGCTCAGCAATCTCAATTAAACTGAGATTTTAAATACAAACTAGAAAGCAACTTCAATCTTATCTGTATTTAATCCCTTATTCCCCACTCACCAATTGGCTAAAATTAT